GGAAGCATGAGCAGCGGGGGAGGGGGAGATGGGGTGCGAAGGGGTCAGGGCCAGGAACGGAGAGGAGGCTGGCCAGCCACCGGAGCCAGGCAGTCAGGGTGTGGGTCGGGGGCACCACAGAAAGCTGTGCTGTGGGTCTGGGATGGGGGACTTGCAGACCACTGTCCCTCACCTCTCTGAAGCAGCTGAAGTAGAAAGGGACAAACAACTCTTAAAGCTCTGGCCGATGTCATGCTGGGCAGTGCCTGAAGGTTTAGATTTAGGAAATTTTCTCATCTGAGAGCTCTTGGGCCCCATATCCAGCCAATAATGGTTGCCATTCCTCAGAAATGATCTTGAAGACAGTGCCTCCACTGGGCAGCATTGTCTGATCCCGCCTTGGTGACATGTGGAGAGCTGCGTGTCACTGGGCTGGGGGTAGGGTCGAGTCGACAGTTATTGCTTTGTGGCATGCAGACTGAGCCCTCTACAGCCCTCCAGGGCATGGCCTGCTCCCTGGGGCCACAGCAGAAAGGGATGGTCCCACGTTAGTCAAGGTGAGCTTGGAAAGAGGGGTATGTGACTTGCGGTTTGTCCAAAAACCACGCACATGCTCAACACTCTTGTGCTGGCTAAAGAAGCCTTGCTGTGAATTTTGGAGGTCAATTCCTGCTCTCCCCCTATCTTCCATAATTTCACACATTGCGTTTGGTTAAATTCCCAATGCTTCTCACAGGTCCAAAGGATGGGTGAAACTGTGCTTGCTGGGCTCCAGGTGTTGGCTGCGTGGCTGGTGCCTAAACCCTGAAGGCCCAGATAAGATGCTCAAATCCTCAAGTGGCTTGGCAGGTAACCTTGTGTAGACAAAAGCAGGAAGTGGGTTGTAGTCCACCAGGTATTTGGGGTGTTGCAGTCACACCTTGAGTGTAAGCACTGTATATTTCCCCCTTGAACGTTTTTAAGCCCCTCTGTTCTATGATATCTTGATTTTGGAGAGAAATCAAGGCAGTTAGTGACTTTCTTGAACAAAACTGCTTTGCCTATGTGCCAATCTGGGAGCAAATAGTAACATCTGGCCCTATGAGTGACTTTTCACTTGTACCCAAAGCAAGGAAGCAGCATGCAAAGGCCACTGGGGGCTGGTGTGGTGGTCAGATGAGTTGCCCCTTGAATTGTAGGAGTGGCTCATGAGTAGGAGGCCCCAGGCGTAGGAAGGGAGCGGGAAAGGCAGAGAACAAAGTGAGGATGGAGGGAGGTGTAGCTCAGCCCTCTAAGGGCTTGGCTGAGATGTTATGGTCTCTATTCCCATCTGACAGTTTCTGTCTGATAATAGCCGACTTCCCTGACAGTTCTGAGTTCTCGCTTGTCTTGATCACCTAACTCCAAAGGGCTGTGAGCTAGGGTTTGGGGGGTGTGATTTTGGGTAGCAAGTGGCTATGTCCCAGTGGGTTCTGATTGCACTTGGAGTGGGATCTGGGGTCCTGGGTGGGGGAGGATGGCAAAGAACTTTGCCATCGATGTCGGCATCGTTGTCATCCTACATCACCTGTCTGGCCTCCTGGCTCAGAGGTGCCAGGTGCAAGTTGGAGGTGCCAAGTGGAAGAAGGAGGATGTGAGGTAGATTGGTGGATGTGTAGGAGCGCGTTGGGAGCAGTATCATTGCTCCTGGAGGCTGGCTTCTGAAGAGGAGGATGGGAGAGTGAGCTGTGGGATTTGGTAATGAAATGGTGCAGTGTCCGTGGACCTGAATGAAACACATTGTGAAAAATGAATGGATTACTATTTAAGCCCCTTGTAGAAAAATATATCCAACATGAAGCTGTTTCACATCTCAGTTCTGAAATCTGCTTTAGTTCACAGGTTATTTGGTCAGCAGAAAAGAAGTGGGGGCCACAGAAAGCCAACTCCAGGCTGCTTTCCTCAGTGAAGACTCAGCAGTTACAATTCCCTAGGGCAGCAGGTGGTTCTTGGCTTTATTTGGGCTGGAGTGCTGTCCTCCAGGGCACTTACCTGGATCTGGGAGGCTGAGATGGGGCCGGGGTGGGGGGGCGGGGATTGCAGGGACTGAGCTTCTGTCTCCCGTGATGCTATCTCTAGGTCACAGAATATGAAGCTTGGTATGAGTGTGGCCCCAGCCTAGACTTTACAGGGCTCTTCAATGACTTGGAGCCTTAAAAAAGGGGCCTGGGCCAGCCCCAGGCAGGGCTTGCTGGCTCAGTGTTACTGGGGCTGTGATGATGGCATTTGCCTCACTGTGTGTGGTTCACAACCAAGCTTACTTGCACAGAAAGTCCATGCAGGCATCTAGAAGCAGACAAATCTGTCTTCCCACCATCAATCCGTGGGTGGCTGCGTGGGCTTTTGGACCGAGAACATCCATGTGGGGTCTGCTCACTTGGGCAGAAGGAGAATGAGGGCCTCCATTTCAAATCTTTAATGTCACCGTAGGTGTCAATTACTTCTGTTTGTTAGTCTGAAAAAAAATCTACATTGAATTTTTGTGAAATGAATTTTATTTCAAAATCCAGTAATTTTGAAATAGTTCATCACGTAAGTGGCTTTGGAGGTGATTCTTTTGGTAAAACGAATACTCCTTTAATGTGAAATATTAGTAGATAGCCGATAATTTGTGTTCATCAGAAGGAACGCTGGCTGTTGTGATGACTTCATACCCCAGTGGCTTTCAAACTGTGTTCCACGAGCCTCTGCTGGGGCTAATGTATGGGAGAGAGGGGCAGGTGGAGTCCTAGCCAGCCCTTCAGTCAGTTGCACTGCTGAAAAAATATGGACTTTCCTTTGTGAATTTGCAAATTTCACAGTTGTGATTCCCCTCTCCTATTTAATTGTGTCTGAAATGCTGGCAGCAAGACCTAAACTGGCCATGTCCAGCTTTGCAACTTCACAGTTAAGATGAGAGGCAGAGAAGCTTTCCAGACACACTTAGAAGCGGAAGGAATTGTGGAAAAGGAACAGGTGCCGCTGAAGTCACTCCCAGTTGAAAAGGCCAGTTGGGACTGGATTGGTCTTTTACTCAGCAAACCTGCAGTCCAGAGGGGCCAATTTTCTGGCCTGGCAGTTGGTGGGCTCTTCATGTAGGCTCAGAGACTTTCTTTTCCTTCCAGGGGCTGCTACAATTCAGAAGATGTTTTCCGAAGGAAGACGCTCACGAAAGTTGGAGAATTTCAGGGATAGAAGTGGGACTTTGGAAGAAAATGTGTCAAGACATTGAGGCAGGAATAAAAAAAAAGGTGAGATGTGTTTTCCATCCATCCCAGTTATTGTGAAATTAATTTTAGGCTTTTGAGGTCAGTTTCTTCAACCTATATCTACATATTGTATCTTAAAAAACAATCTATGAATGTATTTGTCTAGGCACACCGTGGGAGTTGTTGGGGACAAGAGTTTGGTGGACTGAGATGCATGAAACACACTAGAGGATTGGCCAATGTCAGGAACTCTGTGCTGGGCAGGTGGGTTGGGCAGTTAGGTGGGAGTGAGAAGCTCTGTTTCCAGTGAGGCAAGGTCTGTGTCTTCCTTTCTCTGAAAGGGGCCATTCCTCAGCAGCCCAAGAAACTCATGGCCATGTTGGCAGGTGAAGGCATCTAACCTAATGTGTCTGTGATGGGACCACCTCTTCCAACTTCAGGTGGCTTGAAAAATGACCCTTCAAGCCAGAAAGCATACAAGTGCAATTTGGCCACTGATGTGCACGAGAAGGAAAGGGGTGTTTTGAGAGCCCAAAGGGGCCTCTTCCTTGCTGAGATTCTCTGATATGCGCTATCTTCACAGGGCTGTTGGGTTGTACTTCTCTGATGCCCAGTGGAGAGCCTACCACAGCCTGAGACATTTGGGAATAATGCAGCAGTGCCAGCCCATATCCTTGTGTATTACTGGGGAGAGAGGGACCCAAGTGTAAGAAACACTTACTGAAATGTGCTGTCTGTGCTATGATGATGCAGGGACTGGGGTGCCAGAGCTGAGTGCGAGGGCCACAGGGAGAAGAGAAATGGGGTTTTAAAAGGGACAGCCTAAGGAACCCGCCTGAACCCCACTTGTATCCTTCGGGTTTCTGCATTGAGCCTGGAGGCCACTGTTCTGCAGGCCGCACACACCTTTCCAGGCAAGCCTGGTCTGCCCTGAATCTGGGGTACTGGGCTGGCTAATAAATGTCCCCCTTCAGTAGTGAAAAGCAGGCACGCAGGGTTTGTCTTGGTCTCTTGGGGTCCCAACCCAGAACGGAGCCTTTACCAATGTGGTGGCCTGATCTGCACTTGGGGGTGTCCCTGGTGCAGAGGAGCACGATCCCTTGATGGCCATTGTCTTCTTTCTGGATGTGGGGTGGTGACTCTCAGAGCCATGGCCTAAGGCAGGGAGGAATACAGCTGGACCTCGGAGAGCGTCCTTCTGCTTACTAGCATTTGAGATTATAAAAAATTATTTTTTAATCAAAAATTCCAAAATAAAGTGAGTGATTTCCCCATCCCCCAAGATGCAATAAGTCTTGTTGGCTCTCCCTCAGGCTTACAAGAAGTCAAATGGAAAGAAAACTGAAGCAACAAGAAGCAACTGCGAAGGAGAAAATGAGGTCCAGAGCGAGGGCGATGTGGCTCTCACGCCGGGAGGGAGAGCCCTGATCCGGGGAGCCTGTGTCTTCAGGCCACATCAGGGTGAAGTCTGGCCGGACCCTGGAGAATGACTAGGCGAAGGCAACCGACAGAAGCATCCGCCTGGAAAGCAGGAGCTCCTGGTTCCATGGCGGCCCAGGTCACGTGGTGCGTAGCTGGGCGCAGAAATGATTCCTTTACACGGCAGCATATTCTCATCGTAGCTCAAGGCAGAAATCATACGTCCTAACGAAAAACCCCCATCTTGTTAGCAGCGCATACCTTATACTAGGAAACTTGCAAGGAGACCAGTGTTGAACCACAAAGCGAATACAGGTTTTTGCTTTTGTCTGTAAAAATGTACAGGGTGCCTGCTTGGGGCTGCGGTGTCAGTACCAGGCGGCGCTCGTGGCTGCTTCATACCTCGCCCACCCACACCACTGTGGTCCCCCCCTTTACTCCCGCCACCTCACACCGCGGCGCGTTTTGTCTCGCGTTGATGAGAAACAGTGACTCTCGGGCCGGCGTGAGGAGGTACTGCCCAAACAGCCCGCTGTCCCTCACGATCCTGCGGGGCCCGGCCCAGGCTCGGGCTGGCCCCGCGGGCGCGGGCGGCTCCTTCAAGCCCTTCAGCATGCCCGTCTTCCCCGTGGACAGCTCCAGGAAGAGCAGGTCCGGCTCTGTCTCCAGCGTGGCGTAGACGTAGTACTGGCTGCCCTGGGTGAAGGAGGGCTGGAAGGCCACGTCTGAGACGCCCTGGCTCACTTGCAGGTCATAGAGGGTCTGGATCTCCCCCCGCAGCGTGATCTCCTGCACGTGAAGCTGGGGGCTGCTGGAGGCGGCGCTGACTAGGAAGCGCCCATCCGGGGAAGTGTGTGGGGTGCCGGTAACGTGGCCGTTGGGGCCGACCACGGCGTCCGTGACACCGTCGAGCAGCAGCTGCGGGGCGGCTGGAGAGGAGCTGTGCTGTCGGCACTGGATGAAGAAGTAGCCGCCCAGGTGGGTGTGGGCCATGGCCTGTGGCAGGCAGCCGTGGCTCTGCAGCCCGATGGTCTTGAGGAGCAACAGTGTTTCCAGGTCGACTTTGTGGACTGCAGGGTCAGACTTGTTGAAGATGAAGCCGAACCTGGGAGGAGACGCAAACTGAGGTCAGAGGTCAGGAGGACTTTCTGGGTAGGGGATAGATAGGTCATTTGTCTCAAACGATGGCATCCTTTCTCTTTTCCTTTATCATAACCCTTTGGTGACTAACAGCCTATTAATAAGATCTACCGTTCTGCAGGAGATGGCTTCATAAGCGATTCATCTATGATCTCAAACCAAATGCAGTTGAGTTACAAAATGTTCCTGGATTTACGCTCTTGTAATATGCACGCATCTTTAGAGATGGTAAAGGAAGAGCATAATTGTGCCTCAGCAGCTTCTGTCTCGGGGATGCCTTTGATTCAGCTCACCAGAGGCCTTGCAGCAGCTGGGAAGGGGCGGGCCTGTGGCTGGAGGGAAAGGACAAGAGGTGTCTGCCCTGACTCTGCCTGCTAGGAGGACAGGAGACGTGAGTCTATATCTGAGGTGGTTTTTGGACTACTGGCTGGGTCAGAACTTGGGGATGCAGATGCAAGAGAACAAGGACAGATGTCCTATCCATGCTCCCTTACCTTTGGAGAGGAACGTGGGTAAGGGTTGAGGGCAGCCTCTTCCCTGGCCACGTTGATGATGCTGGTCACAGGAAGCCCCTTTGGGCTGGGGCTAAGGAGAGCTTTTACCTTTACAGCCAGATGGCCTGGCACTGCTGTGGTGCCCTGCTAGCTGCAGAGCCTGGGGCAAGTTGCTTGCCTCTTCAAGCCCCTGCTAATATAAAGAGGGTAGTTCCTTCCAAGGGCTGTTGGGAGGATTAAATCTAAGAGGGAGCTTTAGTGGAAGAGGTCAGTAGGTGGAAGCTGCCATATCTGGACTTCGTGAAACTCCTCTTTGGAGGCTGGTTGTGAGCTGCAGAAGGGCCTGATTCCAGGCAGGACTTCCCTCTGATTGTGAGAGCCTCTGCCTAAACCCCTCACTTGCAGAGGCCTTTGGGTGCTGTGTACACCTACAGGAGCAGAGAAAAATCTCTTCCACAGTTTTCTCTTGAATAACAAGCTGTGCCTCAGAGTAGGGGAAATGCCCACTTTACAGCATCTTTAAAGCATCCTTAAAGAGCTAGAGCATGGAAAGAGCAGGAACGAAAACCCCATGCTTATAAGAAACGGTAATGTAAAAGTCACACGCAGGCTCTGCAGAGCCTGAGTTTGCATGACCCCTGGCTGAATTCAGCTTCTTTGAGGGGTTTTACCATTTACAACCATTTTAGAGGCTTTCTTTAGAGGTATTCTCTGCAGTGAGGTAGGGAGGTCATAAAGTGGTTACTTTCTCCCTTGGGCAAAGATGAATGGGAGAGTCCTATTTTTACAAGTCCAGCTTCAGCTTGCAAAAATGAGTCATTTTTCCCTGGAAAAAGGTGCTTGATGTCAGAGTAAAGGAAGGCATAAACACTGCCACAAGACATTTGGGTCCTGATGACTTTATAAAAGGGCACGCTCAGTCTTCTGGCAGTGGTGCCTTGACAGAAAATGTCAGGGGTTCTCTGAAATGAATAGGGAAGGGGAGTGGCCAGGCTGGGATGAGGCTTGCAGTCGAGGCCATGGCTGTTATTATTAAGCTGCTCTTTTGGATGGTGGCAAACCAGACACCGAGGAGGCCTTGTTTCCTTGCAGGCCCCTGCATGGCTGCTCTGGGGACTCCTAGAGGAACCACAGGTTGTGGTTAGCAGAGAATGAGGCCAAATGGGGCACTGAAAGGACACCCAGCTTTGCATTTAGTCTGACTCTGCCAGTTCCTGGCTGTGTGACTTTGGCCAGTGTCTTAATTTCTCTGGGCCTAAGTTTCCTCATCTATAAAACAGATTCGAGACCGCCTCTACTAGTTTCTTGCGTCTAGCAAGGAGAGGGTACTCAATTAACCACAGCTGTTTCTCTCTTTCCTCGGCTGTCCTCACCCAAGGGTGAGACTTCCTGACCTCACTGGGCCCCTGAGGGCATTAGGAGCTGTGTGCCTTCCTTAACTTTAACAATTAAGGACTGGGGATGGGGCCATTTCTCTGTCCATTCCTGATGGGGTCCAAAGCCAGCCCAGGAGTAGTGGGGGGGAAAGAGAAAGGTGCGGGGCCACCCCGGGCAAAGCTGCCCCTTGCAGGGCTGAGCTGGGGCACGGAGTAGGTTAGGGCATTGCGGGCCGGTCTCACCTGACGTGGTTGATGATGAGGTTTGTTGGAGGAATGAAGAAATCGTCCACTCCTGCAAAGGGTGTGCGGATGAGGTGCTGACCCTGACCGGTGCTAGCCTCTGTGATCACCTGCAACACAGAGCGGAAGTCCTTGTGAGCACCCATCCCAGCGGGGCTTGGAAACCTGCAGACACATGCACACTCGGTTGGAGACCCCGGCAGAGAGGCTGCTTGAGAGAGAGATGATGGGCAAGTCACCGTCTTGGGCGGGCCAGGAGCAGAGCGGGAGCTGCTTGGGAATGGCATAGGCAGGGACCCATACTTCCAGGGAGGGGAAGTGGGGAGACGGGAGTGAATGCCTGAATCGCCTCCTCCTGCTCGGTCAGGCCTGCGCCTGACTGACTCTGGTGCATGTTGTCAGCCACCGTGATGTGACAGCAGAGTGAGGACTTGGAGGGGCTGTGTTGGGGCTTCTGAGAGAGGGTCCTCGGAACCTAAGCATCTCTGCTCAGAGACAGCCTCCTCCACGACAGGGAGTCCCACCTTCTCAACACCTAGGCCACCCTGGGAAAGGCGGCGAGGTTTTAAATAACGAAAATGCTAAACGCTGGAATCGTTGACTGGCTCTGTATTTTCCCTTGATGCCAGGCACCTGGGCTGGTTTGTTGAGAGTCTCTGTCATATGCGCCTCACAGAGGCGCTCTCTGAGAACTGTGACTCCATAATTAGAGAAGGCAGGCAGCCTGTCAGAGGTGCTGGCCGTGTCATTTATTTTATTTTTTATTTGTATTTATATTTCTTTCTTTATCTATTTTAACATCTTTATTGGAGTATAATTGCTTTACAATGTTGTGTTAGTTTCTGCTGTACAACAAAGTGAATCAGCTGTATGCATACATATATCCCCATATCCCCTCTCTCTTGCATCTCCCTCCCACCCTCCCTATCCCACCCCTCTAGGTGGTCACAAAGCACAGAGCTGATCTCCCTGTGCTATGCGGCTGCTTCCCACTAGCTATCTATTTTACATTTGGTAGTGTATGTATGTCAATGCTACCCTCTCACTTCGTCCCAGCTTACCCTTCCCCTTCCCCGTGTCCTCAAGTCCATTCTCTACGTCTGCATCTTTATTCCTGTCCTGTCCCTAGGTTCTTCAGAACCGTTTTCTTTCTTTTTTTTTAGATTCCATATATATGTTAGCATATGGTATTTGTTTTTCTCTTTCTGACTTACTTCACTCTGTACGACAGACTCTAGGTCCATCCACCTCACTACAAATAACTCAATTTTGTTTCTTCTTATGGCTGAGTAATATTCCATTGTATATATGTGCCACATCTGCTTTATCCATTCATCTGTCAGTGGACACTTAGGTTGCTTCCATGTCCTGGCTATTGTAAATAGAGCTGCAGTGAACACTGTGGTACATGACTCTTTTTGAATTATGGTTTTCTCAGGGTATATGCCCAGTAGTGGGATTACAGGGCCATATGGTAGTTCTATTTTTAGTTTTTTAAGGAACCTCCACACTGTTCTCCATAGTGGCTGTATCAATTTATATTCCCACCAACAGTGTAGGAGGGTTTCCTTTTCTCCACACCCTCTCCAGCATTTATTGTTTGTAGGTTTTTTGATGATGGCCATTCTGACCAGTGTGAGGTGATACCTCACTGTAGTTTTCATTTGCGTTTCTCTAATGATTAGTGATGTTGAGCATCCTTTCATGTGTTTGTTGGCAATCTGTATATCTTCTTTGGAGAAATGCCTGTTTGGGTCGTCTGCTCATTTTTTTGGATTGGGATGTTTGTTTTTTTGATATTGAGCTGCATGAATTGCTTGTAAATTTTGGAGATTAATCCTTTGTCAGTTGCTTCATTTGCAAATATTTTCTCCCATTCTGAAGGTTGTCTTTTCATCTTGTTTATGGTTTCCTTTGTTGTGCAGAAGCTTTGAAGTTTCATTAGGTCCCATTTGTTTATTTTTGTTTTTCTTTCCATTTCTCTAGGAGGTGGGTCATAAAGGATCTTGCTGTGATTTATGTCATAGAGTGTTCTGCCTATGTTTTCCTCTAAGAGTTTTATAGTGTCTTGGCCATTTCATTTAGATGCCTGTGATTAGGATGCTGGGGAGGGTTCCGGTTTCAGAAAGGGGACTTGCTGTGAGAAGTGAAGAATTAGGCCCTGTGTTTTGTACAAATTGGTAGTGACAGAGCATGATGCCTCTGTTCCCCTGGAGGTACCACTTTCTCCCCTGCGTGCTTGGCAGGAGGCGACTTGAGCCATTCCTTGGTGTGTGTCCCTGCTGTGTCTGTATCAGGGAAGGGCACGGTGGCAGCACAGAACAGAGCCAAGTGATGTCTGGGGTTAGACAGGATGAGAGCATGGGTTGGAGGCCCTGCCAGAAAGGCCCCCCGTGGTCAGGCTGGGCTTTTATCCATCAGCTACTGAGGCCTTGGGCACAGGCAGGCTGGAGACACTGAGCCAGCCATCCTGGGTCCTCTTGCTTTCTGCATGTGCTCTTCGGCCTCCGAGTTCTAGGTGATTGCCCAGAAGGGTGGCAGACCTGCAGCCAGATGAGGGGCTTGGCCAGCTTGTGGGCAGTTTTGGCTGGAGGACCCTAAGGACAAGCCCAGGCCCTCTTAGCAGGACAGGAGGCAGACGCCAGACCCTGACCAGCGAGAGGGGAGACGCTTTTCCTGATCTTCGTGTTGTGGCCATTTATACAGAAGGAAGGATTCAGATTTTTGCAGCCTGAGGCTGAGGACAGTTTGTGATGGGGCTTTGTGACTCACATGGCTTAGAGCTCCGGATGCTCTTGCCTTTTAAGAGTGGGACTGCTTTCTGCCTCTTACTTTAATGACAAGACAAACAGCACCTGCACTGCTTCCTCAGGCAGGTTTGAGGCTTTAGTTTTTTGGATCATGCTTCCCTTGAGGGGTCAGCAGGCAGAATGCCGGATTAGAATGATGAGAGCTGTGATTTTCAGTGTTGGGGCAGCTCTAAAGTTAGGTTATTTTCCTGTGATTTAAAAAACAAAGGCCAAATGACACTTCCATGGCAAGTCCATGGGAAAAGCTTAGAACTAGGCATTAAGAAAATATCAACATTAGGAAACTGGATCTTAGAGAGTCCAGGTGAAAATGCCAGAGAATTCCAAGAAGCCATGCAATCATTGCTTGATATAAGGTCTGTCATTTTAGCTTATAATAGAGATGGAAAATTACAGGCCGTCAGCAGTCAGTGTCATTCATGCATCACCACCCTGACACCCTATATTCAGAGGTTACTTCATCAAAACCCGGTGTCATGGGCCACTGAACTGATATGGGCTAGTCAGCCTCATTTCTCCAATGAGTCATGAATTCCTTCTTGGCCTGTGTCCCAGCGCATGGCTGGGCACATCTGTGACCAAAAGATAATTGTTGAGCCTCTCAAATTTCCTGGCTCTAGGGGCTTGGTTCAGGAGATGCACATAGTTGGCTGGGTATCAGGAGGTGTAAGTTAGTAGTGAGTGTGGGGTAGGGAAGTCTGAGCATCTGCTTCAGAGGAGTGGACAAAGCCAGGTGAGAGGTGACAGCTGGGGAAGGGCAGGGTGCAAGATATCGAGTGGGATGGGCAGAAAGGCAGCTGAAAGCTGGGAGTGGGTGGGCGAGAGCATGATGGGCAGGATTCGAGACGGTGCCCAGGAGCCAGGGCCTTGGTGGAATAAGCCTCATTTACAAAACCACCTTCATTTAGTCATAGCAAAGCTTGTTTAACCAATTCCTTAGTGTTGGATATTTAGAAACATTAAGATGGTATTTTCAATGTTTTGCAAATATAAACATTGCAGTAACACATAATGTTGTAGCTAAATCTTTGTGCCCATCCCTGATCGTCACCTTTGGATAAGTTTTGAGAGGTCAAGTTGCTGGATTGAAAGCAATGTTCTGAGGCTTTTGGTTCACATTTCCAAATTGCTCACCGCAAAGGCTCTGCCCACTGACATTTCCAGGAGCAGTTTCTGCAAGCAGTGGTTTCCTGAACCCTAGTCCACAGAGATGAAGGTAGGTTTATTCAATTTATTTCATTTTCTTGTCATAGTGCATTTCTAAGACTTTCCAATTATGGTGATGGTGGGCATAATGGTCTAATTCCTGCTATTAATTAAAATGCTTTTAGTGTTTTGTCATTTAGGCAAAATTTCCTCTTGGTTTCTCGGAAATAGTCTTCATTATGTTTATGTCTTCTATTCCTATTTTTAGTTTTTTTTTAAAAAATTAAGAATGTCTGCTGTATTTAGTTAAATGCCTTTCCAGCATTTACTGAAAATATTATAGCTTTTTTTCTGTTTTGTGTTATGAGTAATGTTGACTGATTTCCTGAGAGTGAACCATTACTGCATCCCAGGAATTTGCTCCCTGCTCGAGCAGTTAGATGCATTGTTGGACTCTATTTTTAATACCATGTTTAGAATTTTGCTTCTGTATTCATAAGTGAGATTAGTTGATAGTTTTGTTTTTTAAGTTTTTTTGAATTTTTAAATTTTATTTTATTCAAGTTTTTATACAGCAGGTTCTTTTAGTTATCTATTTTATACATATTAGTGTATTCATGTCAATCCCAATCTCCCAATTCATCCCCCACCCCCACCCCCACCCCCCAGCAGCTTTC